CTATTAGTATAGTACATAATTATAATAATAATTATCAAATCACATATTACCCGGTCTTAAGATCCAGCTAGGCAAAGCAGGTAATATAATCACAAGGGAACTTTGTGAATTTAAAGGTTATACTTAATTTATAGACTCCCACGGGTTCACGTTTTTGTTTAAATTTTGAAATTACTTCACATTCAAAGAATCATCGCTTTACATAATAAATCAAAATGGCCATCAACAGAGTTACTTTTGGCTTAGATAGATTCTCATTTTACCCTTTAATGAAGAAGTGGAGGATTGGTGACGCTGTGTTAATCCCAGTGTATTCTTGATTAATTCCTCAGTTTATTATATTGGGACACCTTTTGAAAGACAATTCTTTATCAATGATCTTACCATAAACCACCCATTTGCTGAACACGAGAGGGTACCGAATGAACACAACATATTTTATTCATTAGCAATTCCAATCATTGTCATTTTAGCATTAACTGCAACAATAGGACACCCTAAACACAAACTTTATTTGGGTTACATTTCTGTCTTAGGGCTACTAGTATCTTTTTTCGTTAATGGATTGGTAACTGATGCTTTGAAAAATTGGATTGGAAGACATAGACCTGATTTCATTTCAAGATGTATTCCAAAAGAAGGTACTCCTTTGAATACATTAGTTTTTGCTAAAGATGTATGCACAACTACAAACTTAGAAAAATTAGCAGATGGTTTCAGAACTACACCTTCTGGTCATTCAAGCACAGCTTTCTCAGGGCTAGGTTATTTGACACTTTGGCTTTATGGTCAATTTTTAACTGAACATCCATTGACTGGTTCTTGGAGAAAAGTTTTGGCTAGTGTTCCTGCATTTGGTGCTATTTTAATTGCATTATCAAGAACTGAAGATTATAGACATCATTTCATTGATGTAATATTAGGCAGTATTATCGGTATCACAATAGCCTATTGGTCATACAGAAGAAACTTCCCAGAACTAACAAGTTTAACCCCCTTCAAACCCCATTTGGATGATAGTGATGCTGGTGCAGAGGAAATTAAGATTTTGAAAGCTGATAGAGGCGAAGATGCTAATTCTCATCTCCTACAAACCCATGATCTCGAGACTAACAATTAGGTAAATCTGTTACTGTTTGTTGACCATAAAGAGTCGCATAAATGTATTTTTTAACTGGTTTTAACTTCTCACTACAAATGTAGAATGTACACACAAATGAATATGAACATAAACATAACAACTAGCTGTGCGACGTGACTCATTCTGCACCAGTGTCTTCTCGTTTAGTTATTGACTCATACAATTAGTTCTTGACTCATACATACTAAATCCTAAATCCTAAGCTACTTTTGTGGAATCCGCGAACTGAAGTACGGTTGGTATGGCACACAAATTTTTAAAGTAGTACAGAAGAGCATAACTGATTTAACTTCACAAATATACTTCTTTAATACACCCCTAAAAACCTCTTGTATCAATTCAAAGGGTTTACCAACAATTCAATTGACAATCATCCAGTCACACTACTAAGCCAGATCTTGTACCGCTGCAAGCATATCTTTATTTCTGTTTATATTTTTGAAAGGCAACAAAAGATGTCATTCTAAGTGGTAAAATTGGTAAGTATTAACACATAAGTTATGGGCGCTAAAGTCATGTTACTAAAACTACAACGAAGGACCACTTTTATACAAAGAATATAATCTTGAAGATCTCATATATTATACATTTGATCATCCACTTTTTTTTGTGACATTGAAAGGAGTTACAACATTATCAAATAATCCAATAAAATTAAACTGATTCGTCAAGTCAAGATGACTGAAGCTCATTCACTTGAAGACTATTATGAAATCCAAGAAAATGAAGTTCATGCGCTAGAATCAATTTATATGCAAGATTTCACCCTGAGAACTGATAGTAAATCAGCTTGGAATAAGAAACCATCTCCTAAATTTGAAGTCAATTTGTACTCAACAGATGAAGACCCAAGAACTTCTCTAACACTTTACGTCGAATTAACCCCAACTTATCCACTGACAGTTCCAATCTTAAAAATCAAGGATCCACAACACCTTTTAGCTAGCCAAGTATCATCATTAGAGAAATTCATTAAAAAGAAGTGCAATGAATTATTAGGTATGGAAATGATTTTCGATATCTGTCAACACATTTCAGACCAATTAAATGTTTTCCAGAAAGGTGTGAATACAAACTCTTTGGAAGATGATAGGGTGCTGAGAATCCAGAAAGAACAAGCCAAAATAAATGCACAAGAAAAACAGATGGCTGCTCGTGAAGAAGCCAATAAATTGAAAGATTTAGAAAGAACTAACAATTTGATAGCCAAAGAAATCGAGAAGAGAGGTAAAAATATAGAAAATGATCTTGGATTAAAAAATCAACGCATCGATCCAGTGGATGACTCTTTGATGTATCCACCCCGTGAGCTAATAGACTCTGGTGAGGCATTTGTGTTTGATAGAGTAATAAGTGCAAGACTCTCAAATAAAGGTTCAGTGCAATTCAAAGCCGTTACATTCTGCCTAAGCTCAAAGCCTGAAAGTATGTTATCATTTGGAAAACAATCAATTGTTAAACCTTATCTACATCCATCGATTGAAGAAAGTAAGATTTATAAAAAAAGTTTTAAAAAAATTGAAGATGAATCATTATTCTATTTGACTGAGATTGACCTTGAAAATCCATATTTTGGTACATCAGCAGGCAAAAAAGAAATACAAGACCTAGAAAAAGAATTAGAAAGCGTTGTGGAGTTTAGACATGAAAATGTTCTTTCATTATATGCATATAGCATTGAGCCAATCCCAGCTACAAAACCTGGATATTTCTCAATCAAATTACTTACGGAATACTCATCTTTGGGAAGCTTAGAAGATCTTCTTGTGACAATAAGATTTGCAAATTTGGCATCAGCAAGGTCTTGGATAATTCAACTAATTGAAGGTTTAGAGCAGTTGCACAAAATTGGTCTCATACATAAGTATATCAACATCACTTCTGTTTGTCTATTTAATGATAGGTCTATTGATGCTGTCACCGCAAAACTCAAACATCCTACTTATGGTTATAGGCTATTGAATTTGATAAGCAAGCACCCAAACAAATCAGTATCATCTGAAATGAAGACAATTCATAATGATTGGCTTGCGCCAGAGTTGAAAAAAAATAGTGAACCACAAAGAAAATCTGATGTATGGAATCTTGGTCTTTTGTTTATTGAGCTCATAGTTGGAACTGAAGCAATCAATGAATACGATGGCCCGTCTGATTTCCTCAGCTCCGTCCCACTTGATGATTCTTTGAAAGAGTTCATAAAATGGATTTTTATTGAAAACCAACGAAAAAGACCTTCTCCAATGCAGCTTTTAACTTCAAAGTTCATTAGAACAAATATTGATAAACCAAATCCTAACTTATTTTCTGGGTCGATGAACTCATATGAAGAAGAATTTGGAACCCCAACGATGGCCAGTAGTCACTCCATCCAGTCTAATATTTCATCTCGTCAACCTAGAAGAAGTTTCAATAATGGTCCAAGAATGCCATACACTAATAATGTTAAATCAAGATATAACCATGACTTCGAAGAAAGCATCGTGCTGGGATCAGGTGCATTTGGTAAAGTTGTCAAAGCTAGAAACAAATTAGATGGTCGTTTCTATGCAATTAAAAAAATCAAACATAAAGACAATAAACTGTCAAACATTTTAAATGAGGTTATGCTTTTAGCGAGGTTAACTCATCAATATGTCATCAGATACTATGCTGCTTGGCTTGAGGAAGAGGTAGATGAGTCAGTTTTTGATGACAATGAAGGTGAAGCTATAAAAAGCAGTGGAAATAGTGGAAGCAATAGAAGTGATATAAGCAATGGGAGTAGTACAGAAGAAGAAGAAGAGGAAGAAGAAGAAGAGGAAGAAGAAGAAGAGGAAGAAGAAGAAGAAGAAGAAGAAGAAGAAGAAGAAGACCACGAGGATAAAAATGCTGGAGTTGATGAAAATATAGAATTTGAGCTGAGCACCTCCAACTTCACAAGACCATGCTTAAACAAAAATCCTACATTGGACTTTATCTCTAACTCAATGCAAGATGATGGTATAGAATTTGGTTATGATTCAGGTGAACGAGATGAAGCTAATAATGGTAATGGATATGAAAAAACACCCGAGCGTTCAAAATCAACCAAAACCTCTATTAAGAAATCCAATAAGAAAAAGAAGAAGAGCACTTTGTTTATTCAGATGGAATACTGCGAGAATCGCACACTTCATAACCTTATAACTGATAGCATCATTAGTAAAGATGATTACTTTAGATTATTAAGAGAAATTTTGGAGGCGTTAAGTCATATCCATGCACAAGGAATTATCCATAGAGACTTGAAGCCAATGAATATCTTTATTGATGAATCCGGAAGTATCAAATTGGGGGATTTTGGACTTGCCAAAAATGTACATAGTTCCCTTTCAAAACTGGAAAAAGCACCTTATCATGCTTCAGAGGATTTAACATCTGATGTTGGTACAGCTTCATATGCTGCTAATGAAGTTCTGTCATCTAAAGGTCGCTATGATTCCAAGGTGGATATGTATTCTTTGGGTATAATTTTTTTTGAGATGATATACAAGTTAAATACAAGAATGGAAAGAGCTATGGTTCTAAATAAATTGAGAAATCCAAGTATTGAGTTTCCTCCAGACTTTACAACGTCAAAGTATCCAACAGAAAGAAAAATCATCAGAATGTTATTAGATCATGATCCCAAAGCGCGTCCTTCTGCCGATGAGCTATTGAAGTCTGGTATATTGCCGGTTAAAGAACAGAATCAGGTTGTTAAAGAAGCATTGAAAAATTTAGCAGATCCATCATCCCCATGGCAAGCTCAAGTTAGAGAAACATTATTCAACCAACCATACAATTTGGCAAATGACATACTATTTGATAAAAAACGTGAGAGCCCTGGTGTATCAAAACACCTTCTCAATGTTCAGATGGTGAATGAAATTACCAAGATATTCCACAAACATGGTGCCACTGAGACACATGAGCCTCCCTTGATTTTCCCAAAGTCACCACTATATTCTATGCAAAATGTATATGAAGTTCTTGATAAGACAGGAACGGTTCTACAATTGGCTTATGATTTGACACTCCCAATGGCAAGATATTTATCGAAATGTAATTCAAGGCTAGAGAAACTTTTCAGAATTGAATATGTCTATCGCCCAGATCCTGGTAATTCAAGTGCAGAGCCTGCAAAATTTGCAGAAATTGATTTTGATGTTATTAGTTCTGACTCTTCGGATTTAGCCTTTCATGACGCTGAAGCCATAAAAGTTATTGATGAAGTTGTTTCTATTTTTCCTGTGTTCACAAAGTCATCCACTGCTTTTATAATAAATCATTGTGGTATTTTGGATCTAATTTTTGACTTTTGCGGAATTGATAAAGCACAAAGACCCATTATTAGCAACACGTTATCTCAAGTTGGTTTCAACAAGACTTTTAAGAAAGCTAAAGAGGAATTAAAGATTCAGTTGAATATAACATCTACCGCTCTACATGATCTTGAACAATTTGATTTCAGGTTGAATCTTGAACATACTAAAACAAGACTTCATAAATTGATGATAGATAGTTCACACTTGAGCAAAATTGATTCATACCTTTCATATTTATCCACTGTGATGAGTTACATAAAACAGCTTGGGGTTGAAACACCAGTTTACTTCTCTCCTTTGAGTAATTACAATGCTGCTTTTTATAACAATGGTATTATGTTTCAAGCAGTAAACGAAGGAAAAAGACCATCGATCATTGCTGCTGGTGGTCGTTATGATAGTCTAATATCATATTTGTCAACACCTTCAAGTGATAAAAGCTTTCATTTACAGCATGCTGTTGGGTTTAATTTGGCATGTGAGAAATTATTCAGTTCTATGCAATCATTTTTGAAAGTAGAAAGTACCAAGAAAAGTATCTCAAGACCCAAGAAAAATAACTTGAAAGAAATTGACTCAAAAGTCGAATGGAAGCCAAAAAGATGTGAAGTTTTGGTGTCAAGGTTAAGTGCTTCTTTGTGGAAATCATATGGTCTTGAAATCCTCAGAAAACTTTGGTCGAATAATATCTCTGCTGACATTTTGAAAACCACCCATGGTATTGATGACATTTTGACTGCTGCTCAAACTGATGGTGTAAGATGGGTTGTTTTAGTGAAACAACAACAAGCAGCCTCTCATGCAGTGAATAAGAAGAAGTATAAACCATTGAAGCTCAAGAACATCGAAAGCTCAACAGATTATGATGTTGATATTGAGGAGCTTTTGGCAATTGTACAAACTGACATTTCAGAGAGAAATTCAGGTGTTAGTCAAAGCCTTATTGGTAACCCACCAGGCTCATCAGGTCAAGACTTTTATCATAATGATAATTCGTCGGACGAAAGTTTATCAGCCAGCATGTCACAATCATTAAACTTGAGTGAGCAAAAAGTCAATCATATATCAAATGATGTAACAAAAAGCTCAAAGAAACCTCATAAAAAGGATAGATGGTCTATCGAAGAAAGCGCCAGAAAAGCCAGCAATGCTATTATTACTGGATTGAATAATACACCTGTTATTACTATTGACCCAGTTAGAGATGAAGTTTTGGAAATGATGTCCATAACATCAGTTTCTCAAAAAGATGAATGGATCAGAAAAGTTAACGGTGTCTCCAATTCCGTTCCAAGAACGTTTGCTACAGCTATTTTCAATGCTTTATCCAAAGAAGCAGCAAAGGGAACTAAATGGGTGATTGTCCACTGTCCTAAAACCGGTCAATCTTGCATCTGTGACTTACAAAGATGATCAATCAGATAAACTGTATACTATTAGAAGCTGATACTAGAACGAATTCATGATTAATATTATTAAATAAAGCAGATTGTAGTATTTGTATAGACTAAACAAATAGTGAGGCCAATATGATGTATACTGCTATCATTATGTAATATCTGACAAATGTTGATTTTGGGTTTTCGACGTGAGCTTAGCGCGAGCGGCCCCAGGAATTTAGGATCTTTTTATCAATCATCTCCTATTTCCTATTTCACACGTAAACTTGATCATCAAATACATTCTAAAATTGATTAAATAAGTTCTGGCTATTAATAAACAGACTCTTTTAACTGAGATATTTATCAGATAAATTGAATCTAGTCAACCGACAGAATAATTGAGAATTTGTTCATCAAAAACAAGATTATGGCAAGCAAGGAACCACCATTTAAGGTGGAAGCTCTTTATGAATATAAATCTGATTATGAAGATGATTTAAACTTTCCAGCTGGTCAATTGATCACAGTAACTACAGTTGAAGATGATGAATGGTACAGTGGTACTTATATTAGTACCAATGGTGCTGAACAAAGTGGTATGTTTCCAAAAAACTTCGTCCAACCTGTCAAAGAAACAGCCATCAACGCCTCATCAGAAACTCGTTCAAGCTTGGGAAAGCCACAAGACGTCTCAGTACAAGATGAAACTCAGATTGAAGACCAATCTGCATCTACTGCTACTACTTCAGGCATTGAAAAGGATAAAACACCAGAAAACCCAGTCATTTCAAAAGAGCAAACTGACGGAGAACAGCTGGAACACGCTGTCAAGGAAGCAAAAAAGGACAGTATTACAGAATCCAAAGAATCTGCACCTTTTACTCCAAAAGGATTGAGCTCCAGAATATCAACATTTGATACTGAAAAATCCACGCCTTTGTCCAATGCAAGCACAAAAAAAGAAACTGCTCCATACAACCAGTCATTAAAAGGGGTTGCTTCATCATATATTCCACCATCTTTAGGTTCAAACAAAGAAGTTACATCTAAAACGAAACCTGACTTTTCACACTCTTCTTATGTTCCACCTCCTTTAAAGAAAGACACACCAAAATCGTCATCAATTGATCAATCTAAAAGTGATTTTCAACCAGAAGTTGTGAAACCAACAACTTCTTTCCGTGAAGAACCTCAAGAGGAAGAAGGACCTAAGTTGAGTCTTAAAGAAAGAATTGCACTATTACAACAAAAACAAAAAGAAGAAGCTGAAAGAGAAGCTGAAGCTCAAAGAAAGAAACAAGAAAAGAAAGAATCACAAAAGAAAATTGCTGCTACAGTTGCTACACCTAGTGCTGTCGAACATGATATTGATTCTGTTAGTTTAAAAGAAGATTTACCATCTGAACCAAGCTCTCAAAAAATTGAGGATCCAGATATTCATCTTGAGGCCCAATCTGTTCCAAGTGAATCTGAAGCACCTAAAGATGAGGATCTTTTAAAGGCCAAAAAAACCAAGGAACCAGAAGAAGATGATAATGAAAAAGAAAAAGAAATTGACAATGAAGAGGAAGAAGATGAAGAAGAGGAAGAAGAAGAAGATAGCGAAGAGGCAAGAAGAGCAGCTTTAAGAGAAAGAATGGCAAAATTATCTGGTGCTGGTATGTATGGTGGTTTTAATCCATTTGCTGCACCTGGTGCTGGAGTTCCACCAAAGAAGACATCAACAAAGAAAAAGTCAAATTCCAAAGATCAAGAGGAAACCATACCACAAGCTGCCCCTATTCCTATAATTCCAATGGGAGGCGGTGCTCCACAACTTCCTGAAGCTTTACAAAGAAAAAATACAACTTCAAGTGCAGCGGAACATGAAAATGAGAGAGATCTTGAAACTGAAGCACCAGAAGATGAAGAAGCAGATACTGAAGTTGGTGAAGGAAAAGATCTGGACGATAATTTGCCAGTTAAGAGTTCTGCTGCCGATATTTCATCCTTACAAGCTCCACCAATCGTTCCAAGAAGAAAGAGTGAACCAGTTGCCGATGATGAATCATTCCAATCTGCATCTGAATCAGTAGGGGAAAACAAAGCTGATAATTCAGCTCTGAATGATCTATTGGATAACAGAAACTTTAATACAGAATCTGCAATTGAAGGTGATGATGAAGCTGAAAAGATTAGTTCCGATGAGGGTTTCACATTTGCTGATAGGGAGAAAGAAAGAAAAGAAAAAGTTATACCACGTATTATTGACTCAAATTTAGATCCAACTTCAAGCCAATTTGCCTCAGATTACACTACTGGATATGAATCAGATGATGATACCCAATTACCTGTTACCGAAGATAAAGCAGAGATTAGCACACCAACAGTTCCACCTCCACCACCTATTGCACCAAAAGTTCCACCTCCACCACCAACTGGTAATACAGATCCTCTTTCTCAAGTCTCACTAGAATCTTTATCAATCAATGAAAATCCTAAATCTACTGAAACCACAAGATCAATTCCACCAATTCCACCAATTGGAACTTCTCAATTGTCAGGAACTTCAGATCTAGGGGCACCAACAAAAGTTCCACCACCTCCTCCAAGTTTTGAAGCGCCCGAATTACAATCCAAAGCTGAAGATATGGTACCACAAATTTCAACAAGAGAAAGAGCACCACCACCACCACCACCATCTATTCCAGCTCCACCAATAAGTCCAGAGCACGAGTTCACCCCAAGCAAACCATCTAGACGTTCTTCAAGTATTCATAGTCAAAGAAGTCAAAGAAGCTTCCGTGATCCACCTCCAGTTCCACAATCACCAATTGATGCTAGTGGTTCACCTCAATTACCAAGTAACGCCCCTCCAGGTATAAAATCAGCATCAACTTTTGATTCCTTCGCCTCCACTAATTCTTCAGTTCCAAGTCCTACAGTCAGAAGAACATCAACATTACCTACAATCCCAGATCCATCAAGTGCTAATGATTCAATTTTTAGCTCAGGTTCAAAAGGTGGTCTTAACCTTGATATTGCAAGTGGTTGGTGGTTGAAAAAGAATGAATTGCCTCCAAAGTTACAAGCAAGAGTTGACAAAGATTTAATTTTTGAAGTTGATGAACACGTTGTGAATAGAAGAGGTGGTAAGAAATTAGTTTTGAAAGATTACTATATTTTGAATCAAGATAACTCACAAACTGTCTTACACGCTGTTTTTGATCCAAATGATGCTGAAAATACAATTTCGATTTCTGAAACTTTAGAAACCCCACCAAATGTCGATAAAGCCCAATTGGATAAATACTCCACCACATTTGGTTATCAAATCTTCCAAGTTGCAACCAGATTAGTCAACCAAAATGTTAAAGAGCCATTAGTTCCATTAGTTTTATCTCAAGTTCCAGGTATTTTGAAACCAATTGGATTAAGAAGTTATGGTGCTGTTATTTATTCTAATTCAAACAACACAGAAGTTCATCAAACTGAAGATTTTAAACCAGGTGATATTATTGCTATTAACAAAGCTAAATTTCAAGGCCATAATAAATTACACCAAAAAATTGTTTATGATGTTGGTAACAGTGGTGCACCTTTTGCTGCTGTAATTACTGAATTTGATGAAAATAAAAGAAAATTCCGTGTGATTGAAGCAGATGCAAATGGTAAAGTTAAACACGCTTCTTACAAACCTTCAGATATGAAATCTGGTAAGATTAAAGTTTTCAGAGTTGTTAGCAGAGATTTTGTTAATTGGAATTGAAATATTCCATTGTAATACTAGTATATAAATTCGGATATTCATATAAGATTTATTGAAATATTGATGTCGACACGTCCTAAATGTGTATACATGTAGAATTATATATTATTTTCATACATTAAATCATTAACTTTCATTTTAGGTGAATGCTATTTATATATGTGAGTTGAAGAATATAGACTCATCTAAAGGTTATACTCCTAAAACCAACTTTTGCTTTTCTATATATATGTACAAGATAATTATGCTGATTTGATTTTTTGTGCAAATTCCAAAGCGTCCTCTGCAAATTTTTTAAATTCTTCAGGTTTCATTTCTTCAGTATCACCAACAAGTAGAAGTTCAGTTGTTGTACCACCTAAAGCACCACCTTCCACATCAGCAAATTGTAATAATCTATCTTTGAACTCAAATGTCAAATGTTTTCTATAAGCCATACTGACATAATCATATTTAACTGGATTTTCAAAACCTGGAATATTAACTTCAACACTTTTTGGAATGTAAACTTTATGTTTTTGACCAACTTGAATTTCACAATTTTTGATGAAATCTTTAATACCAGGTTGATCATCTAACCAAATATCATCACCTTCAAAAGGTTTTGATAATGATTCAGTTTCAGAATTTAAAAATTTCAAATCTGTATTCAAATTTGGTAATGAAACATGACAATTTTTTTCACTTAAAACACGGAAAATTTGTAATGATTCTCTTGAAATTTTACCATATGGTAATTCAACCCAAAATTCTAATTGTGGATGTTTGAGGAAATCTTCATGATTTCCAAATGGGGATGGATATAGTTTCATTTGTGCATAATAATCATGAACATCTAAAGATTCATCATCTAATCTTGTACCTTGAGATTTTGCTTTTGCAATTTCTATGTCCTCTTCAGTTTCATAATCTTCTTCTTCAAATTCAGAAGTCTCAGTTGATTTTTTATTCAAACTTATCAGAACATCTTTTAAATGAGGTAATTGAGTTTGGAAAATTGTTGGTGGGTTTTCAGAATCTGTTTTGGATTTATCAAGCAATATATTACCGAAAGTAACAGCAGTGACGGTTTTTTTATCATCTGTTACTTGATCAGCTGTATTTTGTGAATTGTATAATGATTTATAAATATCTTGGTATGGAATTGTTGGTAATGCTGGTGGAACACCGGTTGTTAAAGACAGTGGTCTTTTTGGTTCTTTAAGACGTACCCATTCTTTAGATCTATAATTCCAAGGTAATGAAAAATTTAATGAATAATCATAAAATTTAGCTAATGAATTCTTCCAATTTCCTATTAGTGTGGTTTTAGAGAAATGATTATGACCCAGAGCACCAACAATTAATCTTTTGGCTAAATCAAACCTTTTTGAACCCAATGCAGACATTGTGTATTTAGTAACATCGTTACGATATTGAATTGGGCTTGATGATGATGTATCAGCTTGGAAATAAACACCCGCTAGTCTTTGAATTTCATCTATTGGAATTTGAACACCAAATTTCTCTGCTAAATAGTTGACATTTTCAATATTCAAATCTTCTTTTTTCAAGTTATTAAATACATTTTGTAATGCTAATTCAATATATTGAACATGAGGTTCACTTGCACGAACAACTAATTGATATTCTTCTGGGATTAAAATAACTTGAACATTTGATCTTAACCATTGTTGAATAGTATTTTGAATCAATAATAAGAAAATTTTGACATTGTCTAATTCGAAAGTTCTTTCAATCAATAAATCTGATTCTGCGTTTAATTCCTTAGATTTCTCAAGTTTCCAACAATCATCTAATAACAAATTGATTAATACTTTTTTTGTTTTGGATTTATACTTGATGTCTGGATAAAATTTAGCGAAAAAACCTTTGATTTGACTTAGAGAATAAGCATCTGAGATATCATTTTTGATTTGTTCATATCTATTAATTGATACTATTGAATTACTAGGTTTAATATATTGAATACTTGAACTGATTTGATCTTCAGTAACATTACTTTTGAATTGTAATAATTTTTTTCTTGAGTTTTCTAATTCAACAGCATCTAAAATGAAAAAACCTGGTTCTCTATTTGTGACTGGTTTTGGTTTTTTCCCCAAAATGTTTGAGTTTCTAGCATTCAATATCACAAGATTTGGTCTTTGATGTGGAAGTTTTTTACCTTTACCTTTGATATAAGGGATTGTATTATGACTGTCATGTATAGTATTGATATTTGAGTTTATATTTGTATTGGTATTTGTGTCAACAGTTACACTATCACTTGTATCAACGGTTGTATCTGGGTTTGTATTGACTGTGTCTGGTTTTATATCAACTGTTGTATCAACTTCCGAATCTGTTTGTTTAATTATTGTACTTGCAAGAGGTGATATATTCGAGGGTATATCCTCCTGAAGAGCCCTGGAGAATGTATGGAACGCTCTTCTTCTTAAACAAGCAGAGAACATGACCGTGGTGGATGTCTTTAGGGTATTTGTATTTTAGTGGAGTAAACAAATGTTTAGAATTCAATATTCAAGATGAGATTGAATAATTTTTTTTATTATGATGATTATGTAATATTCGTGGCTTTACTGACTAAGCACAGCACCAATTAAAGTATTATATATTCGATATCGGTCGTACTGAAGATTTTGTATAAGCCAATTATTCGATAAGAGTAATTAGTGAAAGACTACGATTATTAAATTATCTTAAATCATATAAATCATTAATTAAAGGTATATAAAATCAAGAAACTGAATATCAAAAGTTAATCCGGAATATCAACATTTGTATATGTGTAATATATAAGTCATGAAAAGCGTGAATTGATGCAAAAAGATTGTGATATTATTAAATTGTAGTATCAAATGAATATTTATTCTTCTTGAGCAGCAGTCATTGGTTCTGCTGGAAGGTATGTTGTTATACCACCAGTAGCTTTAACAAAATATGCAGCAGCATGAGGCCAGAATAAAATAGAACCGACTAAAGTACCCCATTGAAGCACTCTTGGAACTCTACCAGCAATAATAGTCATGAAATGTTTGACATTTGATTGGTTGATGGTGAATCTAATTTGTTTTGGAGCTTGAGTTTTCAAAGCTTGACCAGATAAAGCGATGGTTGATCTTAAAATTGGTGAAGTAAACATTGTAATTGTAATTGAGTTATTGAGTATTGATTGTAATCTATGAAGATTGATGATGATAAGAAGGAATTGAGTTTGAACATGATTAAGAGGAACTAGACATGGTTTATATACTTTTTTCCCAGTTATCTGAGGAGAAGCATGTTAATCTTAAAATAATTCTCAAACACTGAACACAGAATTCAAAGTTAGATAATTGTGGTTCGGTCATTGCATTCAAAATTGATGATTTCCTTTAAAAAAATCAGGTTACTTTTATGGTGCGCGTACCGTCTTTTGAAATCCCATACTGAAAGACTGAAAGACACAAATTGAAATTCACAATTCTTAGACAGCAATAATTCATAATCAATTGAAGATCTATATCATTAGATAGTTTAATTGATGAAGGATATGATAATGTCATTTGTTTGATCTTCAATTGGCTGTGAACTGGTTCATATTCAATAGTTTGATAGAAAACCGGGATCCCAGCGAAAGCGAAAAAATCTCGTGATAATTTTGACTCAAATTTTAAACATGAGACCTTCGTTTTAATCGTACCACTTGAAGAAACCACCAATAATATCGACACTAAAAACATGACTCCCTGTACTCTCCATTAAAATAACTGCACACTGCGTACACTAAATTGAAATCCCACCCTACATTCCCCTAAATAAACGTGTATCTGTAGTTTGTATACCCACGTTATTCATTATTCGCTAAACCTCCATTCGAACCTCGTCTGTTGCACATTTTGATATACATTTTCTATGAATTTCTTTTTTTCTTAACCGTTTTAAATCTTCACGTCAAAAAGTTTCAATACATGTCTCTTACAATTTCTAAAAACAAAAACAAAATCTTTATTGTAAATTCTGGAAAATACCAATGGATGATTCAATGAACTCATCCTATATTATCAAAAATGGATTAAGGAAAGTTGTCCCTTACTACGATATCAATTCAACAAGAGCTAAAGGTCATTGGTTTGGTAGAAAAGTTATAGATCTATTGAGTGGTGAGTTCAGAACTAGAGGTCTAGACTATTATGTATGTGGAGATATGAAAATTCATTAGATAAAATCCAATTTTACAAATATTAACTTTAATAACTTCACAGCTTCAACAAATTGATAAAGGATTTGTCACAGTTAATAGAAAAGGTACACTTATTACTGGACGCGCAGTTACTCATCTTCAATTACAAGGTCATGATATATTAAGTACAAAATCTCATTTACATGAAGCTCCAGTTGTTTATCAAGAATCAATACCTGTGATATATCAAGATGAGAAGATAATAGTGATAAATAAACCTTCAAGTATACCAACACATCCAACTGGGAGATATGTTAAGAACTCTATAACTGAATTATTAAAACTACAAGAGAATTTAACATCTTTATATCCATGTTATAGATTGGATAGATTAACTTCTGGTGTTTTAATATTATCTAAAGATTCAAAAACTTCTGGAGAAATACATGATAAAGTACGAGAAAAAGGTGTTGTAAAACATTATGTTGCTAGAGTTACTGGTAAATTCCCAGAGTAAGTTTTCAATTATACTTTATATTTTAATTTTTTTGAACTGATTTCATTTATTAACTTTTATTTTTTAGTAATGTGATTTGTGATAGAGATGTTTTCCATGTTGATCCTAAAAAAACATATGAGTTTGGTAAAGGTGTTAAAAAGGAAGCATTAACAGTTTTTGAAAGATTAAAATATAATGAAGAATTGAATGAATCAATTGTTTTATGTAAACCACAAACAGGTAGAACTCATCAAATTAGAATTCATTTAAATTTTTTAAAACATCCCATAATAAATGATCCATTATATGGACCAAATGGATCTAAAATACGATCAAAAATTATAAATTCTGATGAAGTTTCTCCAGAAGATTATGAAATTTTAAGAAAAGAATATAAACAAGATTTCCAAAAATTGATTTATGAATCAACTTGTGATGAATGTGGTTATATAAGTTATAAAGATGAATCAGCGGAAAATATGATTATGTGGTTACATGCTCTTAAATATGGTACTAAAGATGGTGAATGGAGTTTTGAAACTGAATTACCTTCATGGGCTGAGATATAAAAACTTTACATGGAGCTACTTTGAAAATTAATTGTAAATAAGTATAAAAATCATTAATTCATTTTATATATATAAATAATTAGGTCAATAGAAGGTCATAAAATTGATAACCCATTTTCATTTAATCATTCTTCAGCAGAAACATTTGGTAAAGGAGTTACAAAATTAGTAATACCAGCAACATTTTCAAAAAAAGCAGATACTTCAAATGGCCATAAGACAACAGTACCGACAATAACAGAAAATTCAATTATTCTTCTTGGTGTTGTATCTTTTAATATACTAATGATGTGTTTAGAACTTGATGAATTTGGAGTTGATGTTAATGGTTTTGATGTTTGTTTTTTGATAAATTGAGAACCTTGATTTCTTAAAACATGAGTGAAAAACATTGTAAAGGTTTATTAAATCTATTGATATTGGATTGGAAATTTATTAATTGTTATATAGATCTACACTAGAACACAATATTAAGGAGTATCAGGATCTTCAACATGCTTTATATACTTTTTATCCACATCAACTAACAAGCACGCAACTATATTGCTAAATCTTATGATAATATACGTCACAACCAATAAAAGAACCACTATTGCTAATTCGCAAAGACCAAATGTGTATAAGGTATTATCTCATCACTTTAAAGTTTATACCCCATTCGAACTCCGATGTTTGCATTTTTTAATTTTCTCCGAAAAAAGAAAACTGTGGAGTGGGTTAACAGAAATATTTATTAATATAGATCTGGCGCGGTTGAAAGTTGAAAGTTAAAACATAAACTAAAACTTTTAGAGATAGCCGCCATCAACTCCATATTCAATTAAATATATTACCAAAAGAGATCGTATGACTTTATTACAGTAAGGATATGATCAAATTGCTATTCAGAACTGAAGGAACAGTAGAGATATCAGCTGCTACAGATTTTTTCCATATAATTCAAGGTCATATAATTCGTTAAATAAACAGCTTTAATGATGATATTCTCATTTGAATATTAGCATCTTAGTTCCAAAAAGTGTATTGTTAATCTGCTTCAGCGGCAACATTTGGTTGAGGTGTCAAGAAAGTTGTAAGACCAACAGTAGTAAAAAAACGAACAACTTCAACAGGCCAGAAACCGACAATATAAAATGTGATAATACCACCAATAATCCTTCCGGGAACTCTATCTTTCATAATACTGAGGTAATGTCTAGTGCTTGAAAAGGCAGGATTTGGTTTAACTGATTTAACTTGTTGTTTGGCGGCTTGGACTGAAGTCGATGCAGCTGATCTTAACACTGGTGATAATCTGAACATTTTATGATGTTTATATTGTAGGTAATTGATTTAATTAATTTGGGAAATTGTGCTATGCTTTTTTGATATATATCAACGTACGATAATAAAGGGAATCAACATCATTTATATACTCAAATACATTATCCAAAGCCCATCAAATATTCTATGACTTACTCGATTTGATCTATACCACTGTCAGGCGCTGTCCAATAGAAACCCTTTAAAAGCTGTTATTTCTAAGCTTAATCCAAACCCCTCGTCAATAATACAGCGCTCCATGTGTCTTTATGCGTTTTTACAAGATCTGTTTCGACTCGGTTTTCTAAGCTTGGTTTTCTTCGCTAAAATTGTGTCAAAAATCTCACAGTGCTTTATTCCAAACATGTATATTTCAACAATAAGATGGCGCTTGAGTTGTATGTACATGTCGTGTATACTTCAGCTCAAACAAACGAAGAGTATTGTTAATTGATACACCTTGAGTCTTATAGTATCAAAATTCTCATAGAATAGTAAGAATGCGTATTTGAAATTTGAAAAACATGGGCTTTGAAAATCTTGTTTAAGGTTTCCAAAGGACTGAGAACTTACAAAGTTGAAGCATGATTCTGATTTGAATTATAAGAAAGCATAGATTAGCCGTTATCTATAATATCTATCAAATTCTAATTTATATACATGTTATTCTTTTTAGTGAGTACTTTTATATACATTTAATATTTCAAATGCTTAATAATTTTTTGAATTCTTGGGGAAAGAGAACTCAACTTTCCAGACTCAATCATTTTGACAGCTTTATCATATCTAGCCTTTTCGGCTTCCTTTTCCATGATCTCGAGATTGATTGAATACTGGGTCTCTGATTTTGTTTTTGGTATATAATCATCATCATAATCATCTTCATCCAAAAAATTCAAAATATCTGAAATCTGTTCTTTTTTACCTTTGAAAGGTCTTGTTTCCTTATTTTGACCCACTTTGGACTTTGAATGTATCACATTTGAAAAACATTTATTTGTTGGCTTCAATTGAACACCAGGTAACAAAGTCAATGGAGGAAAATTTTTGATCTTTATGGCAGAATCGATAACACTAGGATTGACCGATAAATTATGTCTTTTGGAAACTTTTATACAATGATTTTCTTTCTTGATTGCAGCATTCAAACTAGCTTTGATTTCATTTCTAAATGTCTCAATATATTGCTCTGTAGGAAAAAGTTTAACACGAAATGTATAAAAACCATCAAGACCATCTAATTCTTTGAAAGCTTTGAAAAATTCCTTCTTGATCAATCTTCTCCATTTCCATCTTATAAATGCATAATCACGAGGATAATATGAATGATTTAAAGTAAGTTTCTTTTTGTTATACATTTTATCAAATTCAACATCATTTAATAAAAATCCATCTTTATATTGAACTTTTATAGCAGGACGACTCTTTCTAAAATGTGATAATATATGTTCTGGTGGGAAGTAATCCAATTGAAAAAAGTCACATTGATAAACCGGTAATGTTTGAATTGGTAATTTTATACTCATCTGAAGGTCTGATACTATACCTTTTACTTCATATTCTGATTGAGCAATTGGCATATCTGGTGTAGCGTAGACTTTTGAATTTGGTGATGGTGTATAGAATGCTTTATAAGCTCTTATTGCTTTAGTTTCTTTCAAACCACCAATTGTATCATTCGATTCACTATGATTTAATCTTGATGAATGTTTCTCTTCAAATCTTTTTATTCTTTGAAATGCATTTAATGGTGTTATCTTTGGTGGTTTTATTGTTTTGTGAGGTTTCAACAATTGGAATTTATCTCCAACTAAAATTTGAACTTCTTTTGAAATTTGGGGTATGTAATTTGAAGCTTGTCGTATTGGATTCCTCTTTTTCTGCATTGATGCTAATGAGTTCACAGGATTTGAAGGGTTCGTACTCATGCTCCAAATTGAAGAATATTCATCCATAGGTTCATGTTGCTTTTCTAAAGCTTTTGCCCTTGCATTAAGTTCATCAAAAGTTTCTCTGGCTGCTTTGATATTGGCTTCCTTCTTGGCTTTCAGTTCAGCTATCTCATTTTGAAGTTGTATTGATCTTTGTTTAATGTTTAATGATTTTTTTAGTTGAGTCCTCACTATATTAGCCATCTTGAATTTTTGAGGTTGTTGGGTAGGGTATATAGATACAGCAGCACCATATGTTCTTTCTAATGCAAATAGAGTTTCGAGGTGGGCTTCAAATTTATCTTTAGAAGATATTACATGGCATTCAGATCAGAAGACCTATAAGTTTATAATTTTTCAGTATTTAATCCTTGACTTCCCGATTCGGAAACTAAAGTTAAAAAAATATATCATATCATACGTACTACAATTTTTCAAATTCTGTAAAAATACTTGACATATTATTCATATTTCATTACAATCATTAAGAGGTGAACCAAAAAACTAATTGGTATATTTACCTTCTCTTTCTTTCTTGATCTTGTCTTTCAAAGCTGAAACTTCTTCTTGAGTAGCATTATGAGAGATGTTTGTATTTTGATTGAATGGATTTTCTGGTGATTTTTCAAACTCTTTGAACAACAATTGTTTAACTTGTTGTAATCTAAGACCTGGGTTTTCTTTTCTAGCTTCTGGTAATCTACGTTCTTCAAATGCATTATAGGCAGCTTTAAATCTTCTTTCTGGATGTCTATCAATATCTTTATCTGAAACGGCACCTGATTTATTAGTCAAAGTCAAAGCTTCCAAGACACCATCAATACCAGATGCACTGATTTCTGAAGTTACTGGTTGGTCATTCAAGAAATCATCGATCTTACCAGCTCTTCTAGAGGCAACTTTATTGGCACCTCTGTTCTTGTTGTTTGCAGGTTTGGAAGGTAATGAAGCTTCTTCTTCTTTTAGCAAAGCTTCTCTTTCAGCTTTCTTCTTAGCAGCTTCGGCCTTCTTAGCAGCTTCGTCTTCCTTCTTTTTGTTACCTTTCTTAGAACCTTGTGCCCATTTATCTTCTTCGTCAGCTTCAGCTCTAGCTAATTCTTCAGCTTTCTTTTTGTTGGCGTTTTCAGCTTTTTTGGCGTTACCAGCCGCTTTCTTTGAGTTTTCACCAGCGTTTTTCTTTGCCATTGTGTAATTGAGTATAGATTGAACTTATTTCAAGTTTCTTTCACCACAATTGAGTCGTCGAAATGACTTTTGCAAAGTTGTTTAAATCTGAAAAATCGTCTTGACACACGA